TTAACTTTAAACTGGTTGATAGAACAACTGGTTTATGGCAACTTCTCTTATTCCCAGAAGAAAGCGCAATTTGCATGCTGTTCACGGCAAAGGGGTATGTTATGATTATTATTTTTCATTTCGTTGTTTACCTCCCATACATTACGTACAATTCTCTGCACGATGAGGCTCCAAATATTCCATTAATTGTTGAGCCTCCCTTACGATTTTATAATGAAACGTCGTAATTTGCTATTTGTCGACGGATGCGTATGTGAGGTGGAACCAACGACTAATTTGATGTTATAAAACATCAATCAGGTTTTAATTTTGTTTTTTATATAAGAATTTTATTGGTTTTGAATAACCTATATTTTATATTCTTATAATTGTCTTAAATGATTTACGATATTGTATCGGACTTTACGTGCTGCAGTTCAGTGGTGTATGTTTGTTGAAGTGTATTCACCTGAGGATGGCCACTAGTGGCCGAAACATGTAGTGAACTGTATCTGGGCGTTGTCCCTGAAGTTCTTTGATTGTTGTGTTTGACGGCCAAATAAATAAGTTATAAGTTGTGTATATATGTTATGATTGCCGAGTGGTCCGCGTGCGTGTTTACCGCAGTTGCCAGAAGTCGGAGAAACACAGCTACGGTATATAGTCTGACTACATACGCTGACAGCTCATAAAACAATATAAAAATATGATCTATTTTACAGTGGCTTACTAAACGGAAACATGCTCGCTGAACGTTCTTTCATAGCTAAGAAGGGGAGCTGATATGCCGGATGAAGATTTGCATCCAACAAATTTTTGCAATACTTGTTTTAGAAAATGAATATGAAGCTTTGTAACCATGTAGCATAGACCACAATACTCGTGTAATAATTTCCGATTAATTTACATTGAATCCAAAAAAGTGCATATGGAGACTCGAATAATGTATTAAAAGAAATTAACTTATTAGTCACAAAAATAGCGGTGGAAACATTTGAGAATTATCGGTACACACACTGACCATGTCATAAAAAACAAATAAGATTTTGAGAGGTGCTGAAGAGATATTCAAATATCTGATGAAGAATGTGACTAAAATTCCTCAATATATTGCAATTTGTGTTAAATAAATAAAATGTCAGCATGCATTTCTTAATACATGTTTACAATAACATGCTGAGTATTCATCAGATCGTGAATATTTTGATTAAACCTTGTAGACCAATACAGAACATGCATTTCTTGCCCAGTTAGTGTCCCATAAATCTTATTTATTTTAAATGAATAAAATGGATTCATTTGATTTGTTTATTGTTTTGTCGGTCTCCAATTACCAATATAGTTCATATGACTACAAGGTCATTATTTAATCATTGAATTTTCACTGGATTATATCAGATTATTCAATTATAAATAATTCATGGTCATTATAAATATGTATATATACTTATATTTTACTGATTTGCCACCATACCGTTACTGGCTTGAGTGACTATAGATTGGGTTTGGATTAATAAATGAATTTATTTGGCGCTTAACACACAATTCGTGACTGCATATTACAAATCACTGTCACACACAGACTAGTATCCTCGGTCACGGTCTTCACTGCTCTGCTTGGTAATGGCTTCCAACACAGAATGATCCTTGGCTTTCAGGCTCAACTGAATTGTTGCCATAATAGTCCTTTTGTAACATCCTCTCTGACAAGAAGATGAGTTTGTCTCTTAAGAATATGCTTGGCCTTTCTTCAACTGTACACTTCTCCAGAGTCAGAGTCAGAGTCACGTTGCAACTGACGGTCAGTCAGTCTGTCTGTCTTGGTGTCGAGCCCCAGCTGGGGCTCATGACCAGATATTTCTTTTGAATGAAAGTTACTGTCTTGTCTATGTGTAGCGCCCTCTCTGACGAGAGGTCG